ATACCAATTTGTCATGCAAAAGCTCCAACATTTAATAAAATTATTCTCCAATTCTCTTCTGGCGAGGGGAAAATTATCCGGCAAGAGTTGAATACCACTAGTGGCGAGCAAGACCCAACTCTCTTATACAAGCTCTAGCTCTTCGCGGTGGGGGAAAAATTGTCTAGCAATAGATGAATACAGTTGACAACGATCACAACAAGGGGCGTGCATCAATGGTGTCAATTAGAGGGTGCACCGATGATGGAAACCAAGGGAAGATCCACCGATGGCGGTGGTTGAGAGGCAGAGGGCCAATAGGGTCAAAGAAAGATGCTTCAAAGTGCTGTCTAGGAAAGGTCAAGAGAAATCCACAAGCGATATTTGACCTATCCAAGGCTGGTTGGCAAAGCATTGTTTGATGCCATTAACATCTATGAAAAAGATCTAGGGAATCCAGCAAATATAACATATTTGAGGTTGTTTATCAGAGCATTGTTTGATGATATTAACATGTGTGGAAGGAGAAGAGATAAATCAATTCAGGACGTTTGACCTATCCTAGATTATTTGTCATAGCATTGCTCGATAATTTTAATAGATTTATGCAAATTCATTAAGAATTTTTGACTTATATGAGGTTGTTTGTTAAAGCGTTGCTCAATAACGTTAACCTATATAGAAGAGATTGAGGGAATCCACTAAGGATTTTTGACATATTCAAGGTTGTTTGTCAGAACAATGCTCGATGACATTTACTTATATGAAAGAGGTCGAATTGAATTCTCTTGGGTTCGATTATATTTTGATTGGGAGGAGACGAATGTCATGTGTATCCCGAATCAAAGGCAAACATTGGTCTGTATTTAGATCATTATTACCTTTTTGAGATTGAGATTGTAACTTTTCTTTAGTAGAAGTTCAACTAAGGACTATAGAGTTAGGATTCACTTGAAGCTTTTTTGTATTTGTCAGAAACTGATAGATGGTTACCAGTAAAATTACTTTTAGACAAGTAAAATATTAGAGTGACTTTCTTGATCACAATCGTATTTGAGATTGCAACCAAGGTTTCCCCCTAATCAAAATTTGCTTCCCATAGAATTGATATAGTAAAGGATGATGGCTGAGAGGTGATAGAACATGCACGTTTTCTATTGTAGTGAAGTTGCCTTAAATATTGAATGACTTCTTTTGGATTTGATAATAGATCATGATAAAGGCACTACCTCACTTCAACCGTGACTAAGATGTTGGCGTGAACAACCTTTCGAGATTGCAACAAAGGTTGCGGCCCAACCAATGATCATTTCCTACAGACTTAATGTAGCAATGGTTGATAGTTGATAGAAGAAAAAAAATTATGCATGTTTACTTTTGCAGTGAAGTTATCCTCAATGTTAAATTACTTCTTTTGAATCTGATAATAAATAATGGTAAAGGGACTCCTCAAGATAATATATGACAAAGTACTTATGTTGAATTACAATGACAAAGACTTATCATTTAGTACTTTAGCCTTGTATAACTTTTTATACTCTACCTTTAATTTTTATGAATTATTTTGAAAGTTACATTGATGTTAGTGATGTAATTATTTCCTATTTTTTATTAATTTAATAGTTTAATTATAAAATTTACATCTTAACTCGTAAGAAATAAATATACATTAATATAAAATTATACAATTTGAAATATTGGATGAGCCAAATATTGAGTCATTCATAACCAAATAGCTATTTAACACCCCCACAGTGGCTACAATTTGCACTAGGGGTGTAAACAAGTAGAATAGAATATCTGACTAATCGAGCTGAACTTATTTAATTTTTTTTGTGCTCTAGCTTGTCTAATCATGCTAAATTTATTTAATTTTTCTTGAGCTCAAGATCGTTTATTAAGCTCGAGCTCGACTCATTAAAAATTTTATAGGATCGAGCTTGATTTGATTGTTGAATAAGAAATATCTCCAATAATGTGATTTAGCTTTTAATGTTTAACACTATGCTTTTATTGTTCAACACTGCGTTTTTACTGTTCACGGAGACAAAATTGAACGGTTCTCTTTGTCCGGTCTCCGCACGTAATAATCTCTCCTCTTAGACACAGTTTGGTTTGTTGGGATTCAAGCGGCAAGAGAAATCTCATGATGTGATTAGAAAATGATTTCAACCACTGAATTTTGGACAAGCTAGCCTGACTTTGATACCAATTTGTCATGCAAAAGCTCTAACATTTAATAAAAATATGCTCAGTTCTCTTCTGGTGAGGGGAAAACTATCCAGAAATATTTGAATACCACTGGTGGCAACCAAGAGACCCTCTTATACAGGCTCTAAATCTCCCCTGCGGGGGAAAAATTGTCTAGCAATAGATGAATACTTGTTGACGGCGATCACAACCAAGGGCATGCATCAATGGTGTCAATTAGAGGGTGCACCGATGAGGGAAACCAAGGGAAGAGCCACCGATGGCAGTGGTTGAAAGGCAGAGTGCCAATAGGGTCAAAGAAAGATGCTTCAAAGTGATGTCTAGGAAAGGTCAAGAGAAACCCACAAGCGATGTTTGACCTATCCAAGGTTGCTTGGAAAAACATCGTTTGATGGCATTAACATCTATGAAAAAGATCTAGAGAATCCAACAAATATAATATATTTGAGGTTGTTTATTAGAGCATTGCTTGATGATGTTAACATGTGTAGAAGAGGAAGAGATAAATCCTTAAGGATGTTTGACCTATCCTAAATTATTTGTCAGAGCATTGCTATATGATTTTAACATGTATGGAAGAGTGATGCAAATTTATTAAGAAATTTTGACTTATCCGAGGTTGTTTGTTAGAGTATTGCTCGATAACGTTAACCTGTATAGAAGAGGTCAAGAGAATCTACTAAGGATTTTTGACCTATTAAAGGTTGTTTGTCAGAACAATGCTCAATGACGTTAACTTATATGAAAGAGGTCGAATCGAATTCTCTTGGAATTGATTATACTTTGATTGGGAGGGGGTGAATGTCATGTGTATCTCAAATCGAAGGCGAATATTGTTCTGTATTTAGATCATTACTACATTTTTGAGATTGAGATTTTAACTTTTCTTAAGTAGTGGAAGTTCAGCTAAGGACTATAGAGCTATGATTCACTTGAAGCCCTTTTGTATTTTTCAAAAGTTGATAGATGGTTACCAGTAAAATTACTTTTAGACAAGTAAAATATTAGAGTGACTTGCTTGATCACAATCGTATTTGAGATTGCAACCAATGTTTCCCCCTAATCAAAATTTGCTTCCCATAGAATTGATATAGTAATGGATGATGGCTGAGGTGATAGAACATGCAAGTTTTCTATTGTAGTGAAGTTGCCTTAAATATTGAATGACTTCTTTTGGATTTGCTAATAGATCATGATAAAGGCACTACCTTACTTCAACCGTGCCTAAGACGTTGGCGTGAAAAACCTTTCGAGATTGCAACAAAGGTTGCGGCCCAGCCAATGATCATTTCCTACAGACTTAATGTAGCGATGGTTGATAGTTGATAGAAGAAAAAAAAATTATGCATGTTTACTTTTGCAGTGAAGTTATCCTCAATGTTAAATTACTTCTTTTGAATTTGATAATAAATAATGGTAAAGGGACTACTCACGATAATATATGACAAAGTACTTATGTTGAATTACAATGACAAAGACTTATCATTTAGTACTTTAGCCTTGTATAACTTTTTATACTCTACCTTTAATTTTTATGAATTATTTTGAAAGTTACATTGATTTTAGTGATGTAATTATTTCCTATTTTTTATAAATTTAATATTTTAATTATAAAATTTACATCTTAACTCGTAAGAAACAAATATACATTAATATAAAATTATACAATTTGAAATATTGGATGAGCCAAATATTGAGTCATTCATAACCAAATAGCTATTTAACACCCCCACAGTGGCTACAATTTGCACTAGGGGTGTAAACAAGTAGAATAGAATATCTGATTAATCGAGCTGAACTTATTTAGGATTAGTTTGGGACAACTTTTTAACTGCTTCTTAAAGCAGCTTTTTAGTACAAAAGTTAATTTTTTTGAACTAGAAAGCGGCTTTAAGAATTTGTTGCTTCTTGAAGCAGCTTTCTAGTACAAAAATTAGAAAGCTTCTTCAAGAAGCAAAAAAAAAGCCGTCCCAAACAAAGCCTTAATTTTTCTTGTGCTCGAGCTTGTCTAATCATGCTAAATTTATTTAATTTTTTCTTGAGCTCAAGATCGTTTATTAAGCTCGAGCTCGACTATTAAAAATTTTATAGGATCGAGCTTGATTTGATTGTTGAGCTCAATTTCTTAATTTTTAATTTTTTAAAGATTTTTTATTTTTAATAGAAAATAAATTTATTATATAATGCTAATTTAAATTAAAATTTAATATATTTTAAATTAATCAAGCGACTCAGTGAGCTTTCGACTAAGCGAGATTAAGCTTGAGTTTGAACATGTGGCTCGATAAGCTCGACTCCTGAGTTAGTTAATGAGCTGAGCTTGAGCCTGCTCTGCTCACTTACACCCCTAATTTGCACTTATCATATTGCTTGTAGTTATCAATTCATGCATACCTATCAAAACATGGATGCATGCTTGCATTAACATAAACACACAACATCCATCCAAAAATATTTTATGCCATAAGGAGTCATTGAAAAAAGGCTAAATAAATAACTAAATTACTAAGGCTTCGTTTGGGACGGCTTTTTTATTGCTTTCTAAAACGGTGTTTTAGTACAAATTTTTTTTTTTTTGGTATTAAAACTCCTTTTTAGAAAACAGTAAAAAAGGCGTCCATAACTAAATTACTAAATATATAAAACCCTCATCAAAAGCCTGTATTTAAGACAACTATGTTACTTTATTAAGTACAAGTACTATGAGTTTAAAAAGACTCGCAGTTTCCTGAAAGCAAAACTGAGCTCTACATATCGGCCAAAATTTTACAAGTAAACATGAGTAGAAAATTTGTTGATTACAAGTAAACATGAGTAGAAAATTTGTTGCATTAAGGCTTTTGTTTGGGACGGCTTTTTTTCTGTTTTTTAAAGTAGCTTTTTAGTACAAATATTTTAACTTTTTACTAAAAAACTGCTTTATAAAACATTAAAAATGGGGTCCAACAGAAACATAAATCATAACCGGAAGAAAGCTTGCCGCACCTCTGATGATGAATTGGTCTCACTCTTTATATCTTCAATGCTGTGCCTCTTTCAATAAGAAGAACTGGGACAAATACTTCATTAAAATCACGTTCAACGGAAGCCTAGGGAAAAGCTTTGACGCTGATGTCTTCAAATAAGAGTATTATCTACAGTCCGCACCTACAGCCTCCTGGATAGATTTGAAACCATCTCTTTTCAGACACTCCGCCAGTTCAGCCTGAGTATGTACATGTTATGAACTTTAGTTTTTCTTCTTTCAACCGTTACATACAGAATATCACTTCAAAAAATTAATCAAAAACAGCAAGACAACAAGAAAGAGAAGCATCAAGCTTTTGCCATTAATAGGGCGCAGATTTGCATAAAATAATAAAGAGTAAGCATCAAGATATACAGCCCATTTGGTTGAGTTTCTCCTTTACAAAGGTTAAAAAGCTGTTTTACAAAATAGTTCAAAAAGTTGTTCTAAAGTCTTCTTTTTGTCAAAGCAAATATCTCGGAAAGAAACGCAACCTCTATTCTCCTAAGGAGATGCTCCTGCTTTGCAGCAGCTTTTTGCTGCCGATAGCATGTAAAATAATCTAACCAAACAAATAGTTTGAAATCATCTTATGTACATATTTGAGAATTATATCCAGTAGCAACTTTGTACATAGTAAGGAAGTTGGGGTGAAGCTTAGGGAGAAGCTTTTCTCCTCCCAAACCCTAGCTGCATTTTGATGCTTTCTGCCTCCCTCCGGCTCTGTTGGAGGCCCCTGGCTCTCCCCCTCCTTATTTCTCCCCCTTCCCTCTCCAGAAAGTCTCCCTGCACCTCTGTTAGAGGCCCCCCCCCCCCCCCCCTCCCCCCCCCCCCCCCCCCCCCTCTCTCTCTCTTAATAGCCCCAAACTAAAATGGTCTTGGGTCTTCCCCAAAAAACATTTTATTTTATAAAAATTATCTCCCCATTTGAGTTCAAAGAGAGATGAGTTTTCCTCAATCCCTTTAAAGACCAAGATCTAAGATTTGTCTTTTTCTTGTTGGAATCTGAAGGGTATTTCTAAAACAGTTGGTTGCATTGGGTGCCCTTTGGCTATGGATAAGCTCATAACCGAGGAAAATTGTTTAACATTTGCCCAAGTGTGTGTCCTAGTAAAAAATGACTCTATTTTTTGGAGAAAATTGTCACCTCTATAGTAGGGAAAGAACAAGTTCTTAAGATTCACTATGATTGGAAATTGCTTGCTTGTGATGGTTCCATGTTATTCGTCCACTCTTTTAACCTATGCCATGTCCCCAACCAACCCCCCTTGTTCCCAATTGCAGGGGCACAAGAACATGTAGAAAACCTTTGCACTTGGGTAAGTCAGTTTTTTCCCCAAAATCCCCACTTCCCTTAACTCCAATGACTTGGGCATCGATGTTGAGATAGCATCGACCGTTAATGTTGAGATGACTTTAGACAAAAATGAGATGCTGAGACAACACGAGGGTATAATTGTACTGTAGGAATTGTTGGCGTCGAGCGTCAGTGACAAGATCGCGTTAAACTTTAATGTTGAGATGGCTTTGAAACGTTGATGTTGTGACGACATCGGATGTTGCTGTGAAATCCTAGCCGTGACCAGCCAAAGTGAAATGAAAATGAGAATTTTTTAGAGAATCATGTATGGAGATACGTGTCCAATTTATTTTTAATATATATTTTTTAAATCCAACACGTCTTCAATGTGTTGGAGGCGTGTCAAACGCATGACGTGTCCAATATGTGTCTGATATTACATATCTCTTTAAGAAAAAGTGATAGTGCATCATAGCTCATATCACTCACCAATGTCAGCAAAGCTTTATTCAAAAATATATATCCACAAACAATGTTATGCTTCCTACTGAACTTTTAGGGATGTTTAATAAAGCTAGCAATTCCAAGTTTATTTTCACCAAGCTTGAGATATATAAAGCTTTCGAGACGATCTCAAGACAATTCTTATTACTACGTCTAGAGCTAAAAGGCTTCTCTACACTTTTATATCTTAAATTAAAGCGTGTATTGAAGATGTATATTTTCTATTTGCATCAATGGATCCCTTGAAGTTTTCTTTGAATCTACTTCTGGCTTAAGACGAGATTGTTTAATTTCCTCTTATTTGTTTTGTATTATTATGGACTCATTCTCTAACCTTACTGAATCTCCCAATACTTACCAGGTTTTTGCTGGCATCAAAGTGGAAGGAATCCACTTTACCTTCTTTATGATGACGACTTGCTTATTTTTAGCAAGTTTACTGTTTCTAATGCTATCCTACTTGCAGAAGCCTTAAGAACATTTGGTGCTGCTTCCGGTCTACACATAAATCAAGCAAAAAGCACCATTCTGTTCTCACCTAACACACTTGTTGCCTCTAATATTTGTAATGTCCTTACTTTGAATTTGGGAGGAAATTCTTTCAAATACTTGGGAATCCTGATCTCTACCAAAAGGTCGTGCATCTCTGACCATCAACCTCTATAAAAAAAAAATTTCTAGTCTTTTGGATGGCTGGAAAGCTAAGCTCCTGTTTTTTGCTAGCAGCCTGCAGTATATTCACTTCACAATTTTGAACAGCATTGTCTATTGGATCATGGGTCCTATTCTTCCTAAAACTTGTTGTAAATTCATTGATAAAATATGTGCAAGATTCCTATACCATAGCAATATTAATGAAAGGAAGCTTCAACTCATCTCTTAGAAGAACACTTTGAATACCTAAGAAGAATGACAGGTTGGGGCTCCCTTCCAATCAAGCTCTCAATTATGTTTATAGCTCCTCTCTTATCTAAAGAATTTCTACTGATGATGGTCTACTTGTTAATTGGTTTACCCTAGGAAAACTATAGTTAACAAATTCACTGTGCACTAGAAGCATCTCTATACAGTTGCAAACATGGTTAAATTAAATTTTACCTTTAACATTTCTTCCAACAGCACCACTTCTTTGTTTTGGAGTCCCTGGTGTCATTTCCGATTCTTTTATGAGCTGATTGATCCTACATCCTTCAAGCTCCCCCTTAATTATCGCATTTCTGCTATCATTCTTGATAACAGTTGGAACCTCTCTTTCTCCTTACCTGCTCACATACAAAACATCATTTCTTTTGTGGTGACTTTTGTTGCAAGCTCCTTTGAAAATTTTTGGTGTGGATCTGATAAGCCAACTTTTAAGACCTTTATGAAGGACTTCTACAAAAATACTCGGAAGGTTGATTGGTACAGATTCATTCTTGACTTTCAATTGTTTGTGGCTTAAAACGGTTGATAAACAAGTCAAACAAAACATTCACATACAATGATACAGGTTATGTGCAGTTTTCGCAATACGTATGCTGAAAACTCAAATCATTTATTTATTTTTAATGTGGCTTCAGTTTTGGTATTATTTCTACCCTGCTGCCTTGGGCATAAAGATTTTTATGAGTAAAAGCTCAAAATAATCCCCTGGCTATTAGTAAATACCCAATTAGTCTCAGATTTTCATGATGGCTAAATTTAGTCCACCGACTATTAGAAAATATCCTAATTTGGTTCCAAGGCCAAAATCAACATTTAGAGTCAACCCCAACAGTTAAATGTAAAGGTATTTTGGATATTATGGTATATATAACAACAACAATGATATCAAGCCTTTATTCTACTACGTAGGGTCAACTACATGAATCCTTTTTCTCTACTGTATCATGTTAAGAGTCAAATTATCATTTAAATATAATAAAGAAAGATAATTTCTAATATTTTGTAAGTTTTTTCGGTCTACCTTTACCATTCTTAACATAAGCCAAATCTAATTCCTCTACTTTCCTAACCGGATCATCGGAAGGTCACCATTTGATGTGACCAAACCATCTAAGGTGACTCTCTCTAATCTTATCTTCCACTGGAGTTACTCCAACTTTTTCACGTATATGCTCATTTCAGATCCTGTCTCTAAGAGTAAAGCCACTCATCCACCTGATCATCCTCATCGCTGCAACACTTAACTTAATACAACAACAATTAAATGTGAGGGTATTTTATGTATTATGGTGTATGTAAGATTATATAATTTTTTTTTATATATTTTTTGTTATTTATCATATTAAAAAAAAACATAATATAACTTAATCAAATGATTTTTTTGTATTTATTTTAATATACTAAATAAAATATATAAAAATAATAATACAATCTCATATACACTTTAATACTCAAAACATCCTCACATTTACCTATAGTACTTACATTAACTATTATTTTTAACCTTGAGATCAAATAGAGATATTTTCAAATAGTTGGGGGATTAATTGAGACATTATGAAAGTCTGGGATTAAATTGAGCATTTACGAATAATCAGGGGACTATTTTGAACTTTTACTCAGCATTCAGATTGAATTTGCTTCAAATTTCTGAGCATATTAATATGATGACAAATTATAATCACGCTGCTAAGAACCTATTATATCTTATCATCTACTGCACTTTATACTATATTTGGTGAGAAAGAAATGACGAGGTTGGGGGGAAATTGTGAAAACACTACAACTATTTGCATTAAAATTAGAAAAGCTATATTTGCAAAAATCTCAAAATGGAAGAGGTTTGACGAGCTTAAATCTCTTATCCCCAGATGGTTGGTTATGTTATATTTTATTTGGCTCTCTTTTTTGAGTTAAGATTTTGCTTCCTTATCCTCTCTGAAACTTATATGTTGGATATGTGCCTTTTGCTACTCACTGTAGAATTCCAACGCCTGCTGGACTATGATGAATGAATTTTACATTCGCGAGCTAGTACTCTCTTGGACGGTCTTTATGAAAACTAGTTAATACTTCTGTCTTTTTAGACATTGCCATGATTACTGAGTATAATTTTTGCTCATTCTAAGTCCAATATTTTTTGGGTCAAAATTTCCATATTTTTCATTATTTCTTTGTCTGTGAGCTTTTCATTTTTTGTTGTTGTTCACAGTTCTCTCTCTCCTCACTTTATTCTTCTACAATTGTAATCTCAACCTCATTTTAATTATACTCTTCATTTAATGAAATTGGGCTCCGCCCCTAATTTAAAAAAAATAAAAAGAAAAACTTTATACAAGGTCACAAAGAAGCACCATGTACTATAACAGTTCCGGACTTTCAATTTTATTCAAAACGTTAAATCTCATCACGCCTTTTCCAAAAAATGAACTTCAACCTATTTCTTAATGTTTCATGAGAGAAAATGTGATATAATGGAGCACCCACCCTTTGAGAATGTGGAGCATTGGCCCTTTGACCAAGAAATGAAGTTACTACCAAAAGCTAAATATAAAAGGGCCTAGAGAAGAAGAATGAACAATAATAAAGACTAACCTGTCTGATATAATTAATCTATGCAACAAACTGGCTATTCATATAAACTTAATATGCATTCACAGAAGAAGTAAGCACCGTTTTCATCTCTAAGATAATGTAGCTAAAGGCAATCATGGATTATCATTTATATGCATTTATTTTATCTATAATCGAGATGAAAGCAATTTCCTATACTGGTAGCGTAGCTACTAAGCTCAGAAAGCAATTTTTTAATACTGGTAGAATAGCTAAGAAGCTCACATAAGCCCCAAATATACATATCCAAATAATCCAATACAACAAAGAGAGAGAGAGAGAGAGAGAGAGAGAGAGAGAGAGAGAGAGAGTTATTACAGGGAGACATGGAAAATGCGCACCAGATTCGCCATGAAAAAAAAGCCTAGATGTTCTTCAATGACTAAAATAACCGTTATAACAATAAAAATGATCCTGAAGTCTGATTGACATTAAATGAACAAAATATCCAGGATTTAAAAAAAAACGGTCACATCATGAACAAGTAGTATTTCACATGAATGCCGAGTGCCATTTAGAATGTGATCATATTCAGCGCAAGTTGCCAAGGCTTCAAAATGCACAATAAATAATAACCAAGAAACTGTAGTAAAATTTTCAAATTCTCAATCAAGGATAGCTTAAAAATATAAACAAATTAATATATTTATCAATCGCCATACAAATTGATTATTACAATCTAATTATAAGATAAGTAATTCATAAAAAGAAATTTCAAAACAAAACCGAGCATGATAGGGAATTCTAGTTATAAAGGTACTTTTTTTTTATTTATTATTATTATAAAGGTACTTGGAAGGTAAGATAAAGAAAGAACAATGCACCTATATCTTCATTATCATACTGAAAGCAATTTGTCTATGCTTATATACAGAAATTACCACTGTACCTTCATCTGGGGAATAAGTGCCGGTCCACCATAAGCAAAGGATGTATAGAGTTGTACAAGTGTTGCACCAGCTCGAACCTTTTTGTAGGCATCTTCACCGCTGCATTGCAAACGATTTCCCACAAGCTTAGCCAACATAACTGTAGAACAAGAACCTGGTGACATAAATAGCAAGTAAAATATTCCAATACCTGCTAATACCTCCACAACCAACAAGGGTGATCTTTCCCTGTAACAGCAAGGGGGTTGCATTACTACTAAAATACTAGCACAAAGAAAAAGATGCTAAATGAAGGGGCAGGAAAAAAAAGAACAAGCTAAATAAATAAATGACAAACAATAAGCTGCTAGAACGTAAGATTTAAAAGAGACTGGAACAAAAGGGAAGAATAAAAGATTGGTAAGTACCCGGGTAAGAATATACATCTCTCTTAGAATGCTCGTGGAAAGATCGAAGAGTGGTTTTCCACTTAAACCACCAGCTTCTTTAGCTAAAGGGTGACTATTTACAGGATCTGGTCTTGAAATGGTTGTGTTGGATATTATCTGAGAGGAAACATTAAGAATGGACAATTCATTCAAATTGCACTCTGATGCTATCATGTAAGTAATCATAAAAAGGAAAAGGAATACTAGCAAATAAAATCGCAGGAATATATTGAATGCAAGCCAGTTCATTGAGTTTCTTGTAAAACAGCTTCAAATTACTTTTATTATAACATTATAAATAAGAAACTAAAATCTAATAACATAAATAACATACTCAAATAGTAGAAAATCAAGCAAGTATCGAGCAGACAAAAAAACTCACCAATCCATCCAAGCGAAGATTAAGAGCCACCTGGAAAAGATTAGAAAATGAAAAAAGAAAAATAAGAAAACAGCGAAGCTAATTTAGGGGGAAGGGGGGTCAGGGGTAGGGTGGAGAGCCAAGTTTACTGCTGCAATGTCTTGGAGATCTTCTTTAGACAAATCTGGAGCAATCTTCACAAGCAACGGTGGTGGACCATCCTCTGCCCATTGCATCTCATCACGAGCAGCTTGAACCTATAGTTTGATATTGTAAACTTTAAAAACTATATTGGAAAGAATTTTATGAAAAGGAAGACTACATAAATCATTTAGCTTTCCAACCCTCTTAACAAGATCCTTCAGTTGTTTCCTGCCTTGAAGCCTGCGAAGGCCAGGAGTATTTGGTGACGAAACATTAATCACCTGCGGTGTGATACAGTCAGATGCAAGATAGTGAGCTGATAGTTGAAGAACAGTGTAATGTAATAATATCCACAGGTCAGTAAAGATAAAGCAAATAAATGACGTAAAAGCAGATGCTTCACGTTAGATGATATTCCATGAAATAAAGATAAGGAAAAAAATCCAAAAGGAAACCCGTTTTCTGTTGTATTTAAATCCCAAGCTAAAATGAAAATTTGTTAGCATTGCATCCATCACCAACTTCATCAGCATCGCTATCAATCTTGCCCAAACTAGTTGGGTTAACATTTACAACCCCTTCTATCATCCTAGATAATTTTCTTATCATTATTTGGTACTTGGGTTGTAAGTTAGTTGAGCTTTCTTGTTAGCCACCTTGAACTAAACTGGTGCACATGAAACGCTTATCGAGATAGCAAGCTAAGACTAAGTTGAGGATCAAATGACCCCAACCATAAACAAGCTTCAGCTCCTTGACTCGTACAGTTGAGTTGATATAAATACATGTTTTATGAGTGTTTAAACGCAAATTTATTCAAAAAGACATATTAACTTATAGTACTATTTCCTCTCTCCCTCGAGCCATCACAAGCCAAAAACTGTAAACTCCATCTAAGTCCCCTCCACTCTTTTGTGTGTACCCCCATATATTGTTTCCCATTACTACTATGCCTAACCTACTTACAGCAACTCGGGTCATATCCTCCTTTATATCCTCAAGGCAAGGTGAACTTCAATCTCTTGAATCATGCTTGCAAATGGATTTCACAATGAAGGGAAAGAGTTTTGTACACCCCTAACTGTCTTCTCAGATATTTTCACAAATAGTGACCGAGTCATGACAAGAACAATCCTTTTGAGGAGCAAATGTCTAAGAAAAGGGCATCAATCGTCCACAACCATCCAGGAGCTCCCCCCACGCTAGGTGACGAGGAGATTCCTTGCTAAGCAAGCAGTTTGTCACTCATTTTAGTCAAACTCTTACTCTTCGATCTCACCTACCATAATGACATCTTACTCGTTTAAAACCCCAACCAGATTCAAGAACTCGTCATCCCTACTAACACCATAGTTCGCCCTCCTCAACAGGGCAGCACCGGGCTTAATATGTCACTCGCTAGCCTCACTCGATGATTCACTGGCTACGGGCCTGTCTCTTCTCAGAACTCACCCTACACCTACTCGCTCCCCCTCTCAAGCTCGCCTGTTGGCGGGCAGCTCACTAGACCATTAACTTTTCCCTGTTGTAGCCAATTTGAAGGCGTCGTGTGTCATAGATTTACATGTAGTATTATATGAGAATTTGCCGTGTAGCCATACTTTAATTCTTCTATATGTAGCATTTTCTATAGCCCTCAAAACCCTATAAATAAAGGAATGATGGGAAAAATTTAGGGACATTTTCTGAATAACTTTTTGAGCTCTTTTGACCTTTTTAGACCATGAGCTCACCCTTGTATTATTGGTTGAGATAGTGAAGATTTTGCTAGACTATTGTCATCCATTCTCCATCCTATTCTCACTAATAGGTTCTCAAGCTCACCAAGCAAATCTGTTAGTAAAGTTGGGAATCATCCATTGGACAAATATAGATCCACCATCCTCTTAGGTGCGTCAAGCACAAATTGATGTCAAGGACTTGAAGAAAGACTTTGCTTAATGAACGACCTCAACATGAGTCATCAATGAACATGGACAATGTGGAATACACCGTTTGCTAGGATTTGTAGTAGATGGAAGAGCGACTTATGAAGACAATCAAAGATGCTTTGAATGCCCCTGCCCACAAAGCGCCAGCAGAAAATGTGCCAGAGGGATCATCTAACTCAGCAGCTCGGTGGAGACACTTTAGAAGGCACTTACTTATACACCCGCTGCAGACCAAACTTGCATATGAATGAGTGATGAAGAGTACAAGTCGCCAACCAGGCAAGCTAGAAGGGATGAATCATAATTGATCAATGCCTTCTCAAGGGCAATCGTTGAGGCATGGCCACCCTTTAAATTCAAAGTATCTCATTTGGGGTCATATTAAGGCAAAACTGACCCCACGAATCACATGGAGACTTTCAAGTCTATAACTTCTCTGTTGGACAGAGACGACGCTCTTGTGTGTTGTCTTCTCTTCACAACACTTAAAAAGTCAACGCTTAGATAGTTCACTCACCTGCCTTCAAAAGTAATAACCTCATTCTCTAAATTTAAGAGAAGGATTATTATGTAATTCACCAGCCCCCAAAGATCCCCAAAGAGCTCACAGGCTCTGCTGAAGATGAGACACAAGCTTGAAAAATCATTAAGGAACTTCATAATGCGCTCTAAAGAGAAATGTTGGACGTCAAAGATTTAAAGCCTACTTGACCCAAGGATTAAGGAAAGGTCCTTTAAGATATGCACTCGGCTTGTGACGATGCTGGTTGAATTGTTGGGCCAACAATCATGTAAATGCTGAAGAGCACAACTGAATTGTTGAATCTTACACAATTGATTGCCATCATGAAATCACACCTAAGAAAGAACCCCACTAAGGAAGAAAAAGAGAAAGAACTCATCACAAGGATAGGAGGGCCAAGAAACAAAACCTACAGCATGATTGCCAGCACCTTGAGCAGCAAAGGTACTTGAGGGTAGCAAGGCCACTAACAACAAGGGCTGAGGAACTTCCTCACGCTGATCGCCCATACCACGAAGAGGTCGCTCATCAACCTCCCACTTATACCCAACTTACACTCTGCTAAGAGTGTTAATGGCTGAGCTTGTAGAGGCCATTCAGAATAAGGAATTCTTTAAGTGCACATTGCCGGTGAAGGCCACTGCCAACACCCATGATACCTCTAGGTATTGCGCTTTACACGAGGACCATGGTCATGATACGGAGGGGTGTAGCCACCTCTATGGCCTAGTCAAAAAACTAATCAAAGCTGGAAATTGAGGAAGTTTATGCTCCTTGGTCTAGGTCGATGACCAGGAAAAGACCCACTTGAAGGCAACACAAATGAGGTGGTGCTTTCTCGCTCAGTGCACAAAGCAGAAGTGGTGCTCGCTATCATGGGCGAAGAGTGTGCGGACAAGCACACAAAGAGGTTGCAAGCATAAGAGGTCAATTCGATGTTCATCTTGCGAGTTGTTGTGATGGGCGTCACCCCCATAACCTTTCACAAAGAAAATAAGTCAACAGGAGGTAACCAAGACAATAATGTTGTAGTTGTCAGTGCATTGGTCACCAACTAGCAAATTGGCAACATTTTGATAGACACAGGGAGTTCAATAAATATTATTTTTAAAGTCGTCTTTGATAAAATGAATTTGTTTGTTTCCCAACTCACCCCTTTTATAGGATCTCTTTATGGTTTCTCTGGTGAGCGACATGACACTGTAAGAGTACTCACCCATGCTAGTTACCTGGGGCAAGGGTGACCACCAATATGCTGCGATGGCCAACTTCATGATGGTTGACGCCCTTGCAACCTACAAAACCATATTCAGCAAGCCTCTATTGAACACTTTAAAGGTTGTGTTATATACATAGCATATTGCAGTTAAGTTCATGACGGAAGGAAAGGAGATCACTATGAGAGGCAACCTCGCCTAGTCCCGCACTTGCTACTTAAGAGCAGTCAGCAAAGAGGCAAACATGATAGAAGTTCTCCAACCATATGTGGAGCGAGGTCCAGGCTTGGTGACCGCTGAGACAGTCGAAGAAGTGCTCGTCGTGAAAGGCGAGCAAGGAAAAACCCCTAGAATCAGCACTTCTTTTCAAGTGCTCAAGGACAACCTCGACGTCTTCGCATGGACAATTGCAGAAATGTCAGGCATCAACGAGGACGTTGTCTACCATCAACTTTCCGTAAGGAGGGACACAAGCCTTATTAAGAAAAAGATTAGAAAAACAACCGCATTACTTGCCAAGCCCATTAAAGAAGTTGAGAAGGATGTGGTTGCTGGTTTCATTAGAAAGGTTCAGTACCCCTACTGGGTATCTAACGTTGTAATGGTAAAAAAGGCAACATGTACGTGTTGGCATGTCCCAAAGACTGCTACCATTGCCCATAATTGACGCTCTAGTCGACTCAAAAGTGGATTGTTCTATGATATATTTTCGGGATGCCTACTCAGGCTACCACCCAATGAAGATGCATATAGATGATTATGAGAAGACTGTCTTCATCATAGATGAACATTTGTATTGCTAGAAAGTCATGCCCTTTGGGCTAAAAAAATGTAAGGTCGGCCTACAAAACGATGATGGATAAGGACTTTAATAGGAAGTTGATGCAGAATTTGTGAAACTCCTTGGCTGACATTTAATTTCAGCAAGTAGAAATTGGCAACAATAGAAAATAGGAAGAACTCACAAAAACACCTTTTTTATTGAAATATTTATGAAAGAACAACAAGATACAATTGGATCTTCAATTGGAGAGGAAGATACAGCTCTCCCAAATCCCTAGCCACCAGCTAGAGCCCACTCAACCTAAGAACAATTTAATTTCAGCAAATAACACATACCCCTAACCATAGGAAAATCACTTTCATAAAGAAAACAATAAACAATAAATACCCCAACAACTCTCCCTCAATTCCCTCCCAAATATGCTCTATTTCTTTAAATATTTCCCTACAAAATCAGCCCTTGAATCAGCCACCAAATCTGTCATATTCAATTAGGAAATATTTTCTAATTAATCCCCTCCAAATCAATCCCAAATCAGCCCCCAAATCTCCCGACATCAACAAGGAAATATTTCCTAATTAATCCCCTCCAAATTAGCCCTCAAATCTACCCTCTTCAATTAGAAAATATTTTCTAATTAATTCACTCTAAATCAGCCCCCAAGAGCTGGTCAGGAGGGACAGTCTCACAGTCTCCAAAGACCAGAAAGGGAGAAACCTCACTAGTAATAGCATGCTCAAACCAAGACTAAAAGAGGTGCAAATACAAATTACAATAGCACCGATAAATCACACAACATAATAATAATAATAATAATAATAATAATAAACTTACAATGACAAAGATGCCAGCATAATGTTATGAACTTTAACAGGTGAAGACACCTACCAAGAATTAATAAAAACAGCATAATGGAAAAAAAAAATTTTGAACATCAATCATGCACATTTGTGATAAATTAATAATGATATACAAATTAGAAAGGTAGAATCATGATAATTTAGGCACAAAATATAAATTACCAAGTAATCAGCATACTGAGAAAGAGTATGAACTCCTTGAACATAGTCTGCAGCTGCATCTTCACTTGTCTTGTTCTTGCCAATATTGACACCAAGAATTCCAGGACCCGCTTTGCCTCCCTGCTTTACATCATCATTGGATGAAGATAAATTGCTTGCTGTTTCTTCCATTTTTCTCTTTCCATGTTGGGCACCAAGACGCTTAGCAACAACCACAATTCCTTCACTATTGAATCCACAGCGATTGAGTATAGCACTGCCAACAGAGACTTAGTTAACGAACATTCAGATACTTCAATCTAGGATGTTTGATTATTGAACTTGAATGCAAAAGTTATGAATACCCCTCCTTTGGCAGTCTGAATATACGAGGCTTTGGATTACCCTCCTGAGGCATAGGAGTAACTGAACCAACTTCAACAAAACCAAATCCTAACCCAAGTAAACCTTCAATTGCCTCAGCATTCTTATCAAAACCAGCAGCAAGGCCAATAGGATTTCTAAATTTCCGACCCCAGACTTCCAGACTAAGTATTAATGGGTCAGGCCTTTTCTCCCTAGGAAGCAAATTCTGAGAGGCAGCTGAAATAGCCAAGCGATGTGCATCTTCTGCATCTAGCAGAGCAAATAATGGGTTCACAAGTTTCGTAGCCGAGAACAACCACCCACTGAAAAATGGTTAAGGAATAAGGAACATAATGTTAGAAAAAAAAGCACTTGACAAACAATCCACTCAAAAAAATTAACCAAAGTAAATACAAACACATAGGAGAAGTCTGCCTTCTTAATTGATGGCATAATAGAGAAAAGAGGGGGCTAACAGGCATTTGTTGTTAACCCATTACCATGGCAAGCCTTACCGAGTATCCCCTCGTGCGCATGATGGATTGTCTCATGTCATAAAATGTACTAGTGTCCATCAACACCATGCTTTGTTGCTTGTCAAATGCATATGGTAAGATGCACTTATAGATAAAATGGTTTAATATGCATATAAACATTCGAAGTACACACGTGTCTATGCTAATTACAAAAATTATGCGTATGTGGGCATCGTTCTCAACAACAGGATCTCAGATGTGCCCATGAAAATAATTAGTCACCAGCGTGCAAGAGAAACAGGCACTGGCGCCCCAAGGGAAAATCAATGTCTTGGGCACCATTTTGTTGCTCCCACCCATGTCATTTCCAAACTAATTATGGTTTACCTAATTCTCTTCTTTCTCCTTCCAATTTCAACAAAAAGTCACGCCAACTTTGTTGTTCCTCCTCTTATTTGAGCAAAAGCAAGACCTAAAACAACAGTCAACACACATACAAAAGATCTAAGTATGAATGTCATGTCATATTATTGCATATTTGATCCTACTAGGCGTCCACCCATTATAATCTAGAACGATCACATATAACAGCTTAAAAGTGATTAATATTAAAATATGTTGACATAACTATTTATAATAAGAAAATATGAGATGAAGAAACCCATCTTAGAAAGTGACGAAAAAAATATTTTGTTGCCCACAAAAGTGTCCTTTATGAATTTCTAAAGCTTATAGAGAAAACCTACATTAATTTTATCTGTTACAGACCTTTTCATTAAACAATGACATAACACTGTGGCCTGAAAATAAAATGCTCCTAACGTCAATAACAAATATGAATATAAAGAGTAATACCGACGAAGTAAACAAAACAAACAATTTATTATTAAATGCCTTTGCAGACAAATCACAAGGAAATTCCTTAACATTAGGGACATTACGGTTGCCAACTAATGAAGTAGAAAATACATAAAAGAAATTATCTAGCATAAAGAATCACTATGATGTACCAAAATGTTGCTTCATCTGCAGTACTAATGTATGCTCCTCCTGCTATTGCCAGACCTATCATGGCTCCTGTCAAAAGCCTTCCCTACAAAGATAGAATGAAGCTTCAAGATTTTAGGATGAAAAAAAAAGAAGTGGATAATTTTAGAATATATTTTTTAATATTAAATCAACATTAACAAGCATGTATTCCAAATCGATGTGATTGAACATCTTGTTATAAGTTAATGGTGAGTGCAATCATAACATTTTCATAAGAACAATAAAATATAAAAACAAAACTCTGAAACCTAATATGCAAAACATTTGTTCTAAACTTGTAAATTTTCATATCTTATATCATATGTATGATTTGAGTTGTCCAGTTGAAGTTATTGTAAGTTGCAACAACGCAAACTACAAATAAAAATAGTAAAAATCATCATCACTCTTAACATCCTTAGCTGTATCCCAACCATTCTAGGTTGGCATAGCCCTCAAAAGATCCAAATAATATCATATTAGAATCCCTTTGAACCATCAACACAAAAATCATTGACCTCTATGAAACAAAAGGCGCACTTATTTTCTTAGTTAATAAATAATAAATTCTCACAACCTGCCTTTGATATTTCCATGGATATAATGAGTACTAGTTAACATATTAGATACGGGCCTTGGAAGTAGTTGATGAGCCCTTGGGTTTGAAAATTGCCTATGACATAATAAATCTCGTTATGCAGACGTTGAGGTAGGGAAAAAAATTATATATATAATAAATTCCTGCATACAGAATGTCATAATGATTGAAAGAACCAATGATGTTTTTCAAATACTTCCTCTAACAAGAGGTTGCACTTTTGAAAGCTGCATCAAATTATGAGATGTTTGGTATGTTACTCACAAAGTATAATAATACATGAAAATATTAGGGCTGCCTATGCTTGTGTATCCTATTATGTTGGGCACTTAAACATGCAATTTAATCAAGACACTGGATCTACCACACCTTTGGCATTCTTGTTTATAACTTTTTAAAAATTTTAAACAAGTTTGTTGGAAATCAAGTGATATCTAGGTGCCATAAGTTTAAGTATCTTAGAACTACTCCGAGGAAATAGAGAAAGTAACATGTACTAAGCTTCTACATTCAACATAGTGGTTAGATGGAGAAGAGTCTCAAAAGTGGGTTCATGACAAAGTGAAAAAGTAGGTTGACAAATCTCGGAATTGTTTGTGAGTAATACAGGCGATCAAGAATAATTTGAGAGGTTAGAAAAAGAAGAGTAGAGATGAAAGGGTAGTTGGATTTTATCTAACATTTTGATTTCTTTTAAAGGGAGATTAGAATAGCAAAATATCATCCCTAACTCCTTTCATCATCACAAACCTCCTCGGCCCTTCTCCCTCGGACTACAAAATAAGTTCAACCTTCACCGTTCAAATTCTTGCACGGGACTCCCCTTTTAGCAAAAATTAACTTTTCTACCTTTGTTAGATCAGGGATTTTCTTCTATTCCACCTCCATTCATGATCTCCACAAGCTCTATCATGTCTCTCCCTCCATGTCAGTCCTAAGGTCCTATGGTCCAACTCAGTGTTACCTTCTATGAAGGATGCGGGGACTCCGCAATGGACACAGAAGTGCCAGGAGAATGAACAGTTGTAGCATCTGCATGGCCATTAATATATGTTAGGATAAAAAGCACAGCAACTAAATTTTCTATAGTCAATCAACCCGGAGTGGTTGAAAGGAACAAAGAGCCATTTGCTCAAGCTAGTTCAGTCCAAAGAAAAACCACATCATTACTTCAACTCAGATCTTTCGTCTTGGTAATAAGCATCTTCAAGGCATTTGAGTAAGCTTATTGCAAACATGCAAAGGCCAGATCCATGCACTTTCAACCCACCTTATCCACAAAAAGTTACCAAAAAGTTAGAGTGAATCCAACTTCATTCACAATTCTTATCCTGAATCTGATGTTAGGGAAGATAAGATTCACATCTCCCATTTTCAACATTTAAAGCTTCGCAAATTACTTCAGCTGGGAAGCATCCTAAGAACATACTTGATAACCCACATTGTCTAATTGAATAAGGAATAACGATCTCGCGGATCATTAAAGCCAGTAAATAAAATCAAATGAAATAACAAAAAACTCTGTTTATCAATCAAAATACAATCTTCAGCAGCCATGGATTTATTTGTCCACAGATGGTATCATTCAACAACCAGAGTTAGAAAACTAGAACTGATTCAAATAAAAACTTGCCAGAATCAATTCACCTTTAAAGGCTTCATTTTTTTTATGTGGTAACTTGATTCCATCCCCGCGCAATCAAGCAATTCAACATTCAAAAAGGAAGAAACAAAGCTCCGCATTGTCACTCAAACATCGCCTAGCGTTTTCACTAACGGATCACAAAATGATGTAGTGGGGTGTACCTTCTTCGAAGGGTGTGGAGCCTTGGCAGTGGGTCCTGCGGTGCCCAGAGTAGCTTTAGGTGCGGCGGTGCCGGCTTCGCCGGTCCCGGAACTCAACTGGCGGGTACAGATTCGGGCGCCGCCAGTCATGAAAGACCCGAGCCTCTTCACTGCAGCATCCCTAAGTGAAGTCCTGCAAATTCTAACCGCCATGACTATCCCCCGCTTCACTCTTAAGAAGGACCAGTTTGTTCCTTCCAAGAAGATGTGAATCAACGCCAAGGACTCTGTTTCTCTCTTATTATGGTTGCTTTCTCTCCTCTCCCTCTCCCTCTCCCTCTCCCTCTCCTGTCACGGCGGCAAGCTTCGAGGCTGGAGCCCAAACCTAGCAATTCCAACGGAAAGGGAGTGCCTTTAATTTGATAAAAACTTTAAATTTATTTTTATTGTAGGGATTTATGTTTTTAGGGATTTAAGCTAATAAATTTCTAATTTTAAAGCAAAGGTGCGACAGGGAATAAGATGAATAGCCGACTTTTTGCCACTATATATATCTTGAACTTCATCTTTATCAAACAAAATTATACATGAAGTATTTTTAATATTATTTAAATTTTAAAGTGCATAAAAATTAGTAATTTTATTCGCCATTTTTTTGTATTTAAATATTTTTTATTATATCACATAATTTTATATTTTATCTTGATTTTTTAAATATTACTTGTATAAAAAAGAAAAAAAAATTAGAACATGCATAAATCTCCATATATTAATCTGATGATGATTCATTTTAAAAATTAATTGCATTTCATAAAACTTTTTATTGAAATATAATTGAATTTGACTTTTTTTAATTTATTTAATACTATAAGTAGATTAAATTTTTGGCTTTAAGCTAATTTTCTATTTTAGCTAAATAATTTTAATTCATTTATCTTAAGGAAAATTAACATTCATACCTCATAAATCTTTGATATTTATTTATATAACATTCCATTTTTATTCACATCAAAAATATTATTAATATATGTGTGTGTGTGATTGAGACATTAAAATATTACCTTAGCAAATACCAAAGCTTTGTTATCAAATATATAAATACATAAGAGTAATGTGGTATGTACTTAAATCCCCCTTATCTTAATTTTGTAGACTTCATTTTATCACAACGAGACTTTCTTATTTATATATAATGTCCGACCACCAAATTGGTTTAAATTTTTTTTCAACTTTTTTATTTGTCCATAATTGTGTTATAAATTTGCAAATTCGTCTAAATAAAAAGACTTCTTATTGTCAAAACAAAATAAATGTACATAAATACACTCCTCATAAAGTGCATAATTGACAAAATGTATGTGTTGTATGTTATTTGAGAGAAATATGCATGGGAGTTTATTTTGAATGAAATTTTTCTCAGTAAAATATAACCTCTTATATTAGCGGGTTGCTTATTCCGCTCATAATTCATTCAAAATTTATTTGAATAGTTTCAAATTCGAGCTGATTAGAATTAATTTGAGTTGGGTTTCGATCCTTAGTTTAAATCTCTCCTCTCTTCCTCAACACTTATAGTTCACCATGCTTGCAATGAAACTCCCATAACGATCCCATCTTATCCTTCACACGCAATTGATACTTTCCGTGCATTACCACAATGTGATCCATCATGACCTCTTCTTCTCCTTTACATATCATTGATCTATCAATAATTGACACCACTGATTCCTGCCACGAACTACTTTTCTCATTCACAAGTTGTTGGTGCGCATATATATGCTCCATCAACTCCTATCATGATCTCATGTTCTCATTCACACATCATTGGTTCATTAATGCATACCCCCAAGGAGCTATCATGAACTCCTCTTCTTCTTTACATGTAGTTGATCCCATTGATGCAATCCCCTAATGAGCTCCTGTCACAAGCTCCTCGCCTCCTTCACTTGTCATATGCCCATTAAATGCTTATACCGACAAGCTTCGATCACGAGTTTTGTGATCCCATACACAATAGAAATTGCTTGATGCTTCAAACGACTAATTACAAGGATTCAAAAATTGTCATTCTCATGAGGGTTCAAATGACATACGAAATAAGGGTTCACATGTGCATAGTGTGAGGGTACACATGACGTATCGTATGAGGGTTTGCACTATGAACTATGAGTGTTCGAATGACGTACATAAGGGTTTGAATGTGTTTCAAACCAAAGTTCAACACTTGATTCTTTTAGCCAGGACAACATTATGTTTTTATGTTTATTTCTTTTAAATATGTAACTTACAAGTTTTGTTTTACTAGTGTTTGTGATTTTTTTAGAAATCATTCAAATATTATAGGCTCTTTGGAAAAATATTTCTATTAAGTTTAATAAATTAATAATCAACTTAAAATAAATTAGAAAATATTTTCTTAAAATTTAAAAACATTATCTTTGTATCCTTTTGTGGGCTCCGAAAAATTCCAATTTTTGGGATGATGTGTGATCCCGGGGGAATTTTCAGAAGGCAGATTGGGTTTGTAGATAAGACACTACCCAGAGATTTCGCTAGCGATCAAAACTCTTAAGTGTTGATTCACATTCATATCATATTTTGTTAAACACATAAAGTAAAAGCCTCTCACTTAAAAGTATATAACTTGCATACATATCACATTCCTTATTATATGTAATAATCTAGAATTAAATTTGGAAGAAGTATTTATTTTACCTTCTTAATTAATCAATTATAGCTTCTATAAATCGTCAAAATAATAAATCAATATATTCAATTGAAGCATCTAATAATTATATTCGTCAAAATATTTCATTACATTCATTCTCTCAAAATCAATATATAATAATCATGAGATTGATATAATCTATACTCTATCACTAGCTCTTGACTACAAAATAAAAATAATACAAATAAAATCAAAATAAAACCTGAGGATCTCTGTCAATTTCACTCCAACTGATCCTAACCCCTTCCCTCTAAAACCTGAAATCATTAAAATTTATATAATGAGCTAAAAATCCCAACAATAACTCAAACTCAAAAAAGCTTTTAATACAAAGACTAAATAATTAATATGAATTGCTCAGTCAATTAAATCAATAACAATCGATATAATCAACAACCAATTATCATCAATAAAACTAAGAATGACTAATAATAAAAGCAATAAATCATTACAATGAATGTATGAATCAATAGTATGTATAAAAATCAGTAAAATAATAGGGCAAAACTTATTCATAAATTACTGAAAAACCATATCTCATCTATTTATATACAACATTTGTTCATGTACTAACTATGCATTCAATACGATATGTTGTCAATATATATATATATATATATAAATGTTATGATTGCTATCAATATATGCATGCATTAATGTATGATTTAGTAATGCAAGATAATTAGTGTTAATGTGGTGTTTTCATCATTTCATATGTATTTATCTCATCTTTATTATCATTATCTTTATCATTCATATTTTAGGTGACTTTCAATAAACATTAAGAGGTGTCATTCTCTGCCCGTCGGTGTAATCGATCATTAGTTACAAGTTATTTCCGGGATTACAACACAAATTCTCTTTAAAGGAAAACTCGTCGACCTACTCTCCTGCGCATGGTGTTTTTAATATCCAAATTATTTAATAGTGTTATCAACCAACTTTTCTTGCTTATATTGTAAATGCCACATTCATTTATATGAAATCCAATCTAATATGCAATATCTATAAAATATAGTAAAATCTATATATTATCTTATTGTTTTAGAAAATCATAACTTTCATTTCACATCATAGAAATCGATAATATTACAGTCAAAATATTAATAAAATATGTATTTATCTTATACAAAAAGTTACATAGTAAAAATTTGATAAATCAAGAAAAAATATATTTTTATTGATTTAGGAGAGAATAAATCCGTCAAACTTAGAATCATTGAAAATTAAAATGAGATTTGTGTTACTTAATAATGAATAGAAGAAATCTTTGAACAAAATTGACCTATAAAACTCTGAACAATCTTTTCTCTTCTCCCTATTTCTTTCTTCGTTGGTAAGGCACAATGTTGAAATTTAGACTTTTCATTTTTTAAAAAATATTTTTTAAAATTTGGATTATTACAATCTAACCACCTTAGAAATGTTGTCCCCGACATTTTTCTTAAGAATTTGGGCATAAAATCAATACAAAAAAACTAGTAAGACAATCTACCCACCTTAGAAATGTCATCCCAGATATTTTTCTTAAGTATTTGGGCACAAAATCAATAAAAAATAGTAAGATCAAATCTCAAATCGAATCAAAATAAATTATAAATTAAAATAAACTCAATCAATTTTTATGATACACTCATACATTTCGTTGAATCACATATCATTCACTTATGTGGGTGCAAACTAATGTATCTTAATTTACCCAATCTACCTGACACATAATCAATTTCTTATAACTCTGGTAATAATTCAATTAATTCTTCCAACAACTGCCTTGATGCTAATTTTTTCCACCCCCTCAATTAAATTTGAAAGAATTATATATTTTTATCTTTTTAATTAATCAACCAAAGCTTATATAAATCATCAAAATAATAAATCTATATATCTAGTTGAATCGTCTAACAATTTTATTAGTCAAATTATTTCATTATATTCATTCTCCTACAATCAATATATAATGGTCAGGAAATCAATACAATCAATACTCAATCACTAGCTCCTGACTACAAATAAAAAATAAAAAAAGACAAATAAAATCAAAAGAAAATATGAGAATCTTTACCAATCTCATTCCAACTAGTTATGCCTCCTTGTCATAAATCATTAAAATCTATATAATGAGCTAAAAAGCTTAGCAGTAACTCAAACCCAACAAAGCTTTCAATGTAAGGACTAAAGAATCAATATAAAATACTCTGTCATTTAAATCAATAATAATCAATGACTAATTATCATTAATAAAATTAAAAATAATTAATAATAAAGGCAAAGAATCATAGCAATGAATCTAGGAATCAATAACATGTATATAAATCATTAAAACCGTAAAATAACAGTGCAGAAATCATTCATAAACCATTAAAAGAATCTATCTCATCTATTCATATGCAACATCTGCTCATGTAATATATATTCATCCAATATTTTATCATGTCAATATATCTGTCAACACTATCAATGCTATTAATATATGCATGTATCAATATATGATTTAGCAAGGCATGACATTCACCTTTAATATGTTATTTTTCATCCTTTCATATGTAGTCATTTCATAATTATCATCTTTATTAGCAATATATTTCAAATGGCTTTCAATAATCATTAAGAGTAGGCACCCTCCACCCGTCAGCATAATTGATTATCACTTACAGGCTACATCCGGGATCACACCACAAATCATCTTT